CCCCCCTGCCTGGCGAGCAGAGCAGCCCAGCTGGCGGGGAGACCCTGGCGCAGGTGCTCCCTGCTTGCCGAGGGGGTATTAAAAGGAGCTGCAGGGAGGAGAAGGGTTTGGTTGATGGGGGAGGAGAGGGAGGGCTGTGGAGGGATGTCCTTGGTGGTAAGGGGCTGCTAGCTTTGCAGAAACTGAGCTTCTCTAAGAGTGGTTAAGAGAACGTAGGGGGGCTTTCCTGGTGGAGGAAGGGAGAGCTGTGATTCAGCAGTGCCATCGTGCCTTGCGTTGCAGAGAGCCGACCCTGCTCCTGGGTCCCTGTTGCATCCAAGGGGAAGAGAGACAGGACAGGGGACCCGGGGTGGGCTGGCGCAGCAGGACCTGGGCTCTCGGCTTCCCCAAAGTGCCCGGGGGGAGCTGAGCTGGGGCTATCCTTGGGAGGAGGCTGTCTGGGGGCTCAAGCGGAGGTGATGCACGGTCCGAACCTCGCTGGGGTTTCTTCCACAGGTGCCTGAGCTGTGCCTTTTCTACACTCTCTCTCCTCTGGGAATCCACGTGCTCCCTGGGGACTGCACTGTTCCCCTGCAGCATGTCTGAGCCCTGGCTGCCCTCTCCTTCGCCATCTCTGGCTGCTGCCCCGTGTCCTCCCGGCTGTGGCTGGGCAGCTGGCAGGTCCTGGCTCCTCTCCATCCGGTGATGACTGCAGCTCTACACAGCCGGTACGTCGGCTTACGCTGCTCCCCGCAGGGGAAGGGCCTTGGCTTTGAGTCGCTGCTGTGGCAGAGGTTGTATAAGGTCGTACAGCTGGTCCCACACGCTTATGCATGTAAGGAGCTGTGTAACCCTGCTGGGATACACAGGCTTCCTCCACCAGCCTGACGTGGGCATAGCCTGAGCCATAAGCCAAGCTTGTGCAAAGGCAAAGCATTGCTCTGATCCTGGGAGTATTTGCTAAGTAACAGCAAGAGCTGTGGGACCCCAGAGGAGGCAGTTAAATTAAACAGGACAACAGCATGGGCATTGCGGAGCAATCCTGCGCTGGAGGGGCTGGGGGAGGCAGGCAGGTGCTTCTGGACCGCTTCGCTTTCGCGGCGTGCAGGGCGCTCGCGCTGGAAGCTGCAGCCTTGCCGGCACGGGGCATGCAGGGCGGACGAGGAGGAACAGATTAACCCAAGGAACTCAGCTCCC